TTCGTGAAAGTTTTTTATGGGTAAGTTAATATCTCGGCAACCACGGAGTCTGGGAGGCTGAAATTTTAAGGTAATGATCCCCTGCTCCCGCTCAACCTTGCCCATTCAAATTCAGCGTTCTCGCGCTCTCGGGCACCATCTACAGCCTCGTGAAAATTTCGGTGGGTGAACTATTAACTCGGGAATCACGGAAAGATATTCATCCTTCAAGGTTTCGAATTCAGCTTTCATGCGCAGGTGCGTGAAATTTTTAAATGTTTTCCAATGTTTGAACTATTTTTGCATAGACTGAAGTACGAAGCAGTGAAAATCATTAACAGGTAACCATTTTCCAATGTTTGAACTATTTTTGCATAGACTAAAGTACAAAGCATGAAAATCATTAATAGGCAATCGTTCGATGGGCCGAATTGCACAAAACGCATTATCGCACCGGCTAGTCTGTTGAAATTTTTAACTGTTTTCCAATGTTTGAACTATTTTTGCATAGACTAAAGCACAAAGCAGTGAACTGGTGCATGAAATTTTTAACTATTTTTCAATGTTTGAACTATTTTTGCATAGACTAAAGTACAAAGCAGTGAAAAGTTTTTAACTGTTTTTCAATGTTTGAACTATTTTTGCATAGACTAAAGTACAAGGAAGTGAAATCTTTAACTGTTTTTCAATGTTTGAACTATTTTTGCATAGACTAAAGTACAAAGCAGTGAAAATCATTTTCTTAACTGTTTTTCAATGTTTGAACTATTTTTGCATAGACTAAAGTACAAGGAAGTAAAAATCATTACGTCTGGTTTTCAATGTTTGAACTATTTTTGCATAGACTAAAGTACAAAGCAGTGAAAATCATTAACAGGCAAATATCGTCTCGATGGGCTGAATTGCACAAAACGCATGATCGCACCGGCTAGTCTAGTGCGCGTTGCTATTTATTAGTATTGCTAGGACGATAAATCTTGATTTTAAGTGGTGAATTCACTTGCATTTAGAGCCACCTTATGGCTTTATAGTCTCTTCCAATCTCTAATTTTACAGCAGTACGCTTTGTTAAACAACGGGTGGGCCCCCTGCACCGACCAGATTCTGTGTGTGTGTGTTCCGGTTTAGGATGGAATATATTTGTCGAAAAATTTTTGAATGATAAATTAACTTTACCTCTTTCTACATGTATATTAGTAGTTTTCATAGCTTTTATACATTCATACCAGTTTACATGTAAAATTTCTACTTTCTTCTTTTGCTAGTTATGGCGACTTTCATATATTCGTAGCAGTATACCTTTGGCACATTAGCGCTGCCGGCTTTTTCATACGCATTAGTTTTGGCAACTTTTGCATACTTACATCGGCCCGTTTGTGCCAATGACAGATTAGCATTGCTGGCTTCTTCTGTAGATTTTGCGACTCCCGATATTCTTTCGTTTTGCGTATCCTTCCCGCACTGTATGGATATCTTTGCATCTGTTTAATATTATAGAGGTCTCTATGTCTCTTTAGTAAGCAATTTTATATTCGTTTCCCAATTATTAAAGGGCTAACTCATTTTTTTAATTAGTAAAACAGGGTACCTCGCCTGGCTACAGATGCACTGTTTTTTCCAGGTATAAACGGTCCACTACTACATCTCCTACATGAATGTTGCGCCTTGTCTCTATTTTTTGGAAAGATATTGAAGTCTAGCTAGATTACTTACGTAAGTGAGGCTTTTCCCCCTCCTCACCTCTCCCCCTTTCTCCCTTCCTCCCCCCCCCCCCCCCCCCCCCCCCCCCCCCTC